CTTTCCAGCTCCATTCTCCTGTTCAGGGCAATAAAAGAAGAACAGCTGGGAGGGAGCGGGGGCGGGGCCAGCCTATTTGCCAGTTCTCCAAACTACTCACCGTGCACCCGCACAGAACCGCCGCCTCTCTCCCGCCCCCTCCACGGTCCACAAAGCTGAAAATGTTGGGGAACTCTGTTCTATAATAGTGTGTCTTAGTCTGGACCACTTTAAGATGGGCAGACTTCAATTCTGAGAATTCCCAAGTCACAGCTAGTTGGAGAATTCTGCTAGTTGAAAGTCCACACATCTTAAGTATCCCAGGTTGAGAAATACAGCTCTATAGTATAATGCTCCCCATTTCTCTGTTTTGATTTTTTTTCTTCTTTTAGGGTGAATTTGTCAATGAATATGTCGGTGAATTAATTGACGAGGAAGAGTGCAGATTGCGAATTAAGCGTGCCCATGAGAACAGCGTGACCAATTTTTATATGTTAACTGTTACAAAGGTAAAAGGATGCTGTGTGTGTATGTATGTGTTTTATGTCATTCTTGCATCAGAGCTATTCTAGTTTTGACACCTGTGAAAATGACAGTCACATTTCTGCATGTAAAATCCACCAGCAAAACCTGAGTTAGATTATCAAGAGTTTCAAATGAAAGCAGCTGGTCACTCTATAACCTTCCTGCAGGGATTATAAAAACAGAAATGGGGTTTAGAACATAGAATATTAGAGTTGGAAGGAGCCTTAGAGGTCTTCTAGTCCAACTCCCTACTTGAGCAGAAGATCTTATACCATTTGAGATAAATGGCTGTCCAGTCTCTTTTTTAAAAAAAGCCTCCAATGACGGAGCACCCACAACTTCTGGAGGCAAGCTGTTCCATTGGTTGATTGCTGTCACGGCTCTCCTTAGTTCTACTTTTTTTGGATATGAGAACCACATGGAAATAAAAACCAAGAACGTTTCAAGAGACTCTTCGTTCAAACTGAGTTGTAAGAGTGGTTTCTGCATTGCACAAAATGTAACTGGGGGAGGGAAGAGTTGAAACAGGAGAAAATAGGCCTCAGCAAATGAATGAATCCCAATCCTTCTCTCCATTTCCTTAAAACCACCAATTATTAGGCTTCATGCTAAAGCAGGGGTCTCCAGACTTGACAAATTTAAATTAAAGGATTCTGGGAGTTGAAGTTCACAAGTATTATATTTTACCAAGTTTGGAGAGCCCCGTGCTAAAGGGAATGTTGCCTCTTTTCAGCCCGAATCCAGGGGTGGGATTCAACCGGTTCGGACTGGTTCGAGTAAACCGGATGTTAATTTTGCATCCGGTTTGCCGAACCGGTTGTTGCAAGGACCAAATGGCCTGTTCATCATGCCAGGTAAGTGCAGAACCTGCATGGAGGCTCTACGAGGGTGAAAAATGGGCTTCCCGGAAGTCTGGAAATGGACTCGTTTCAGGCCTCCGGTGCCGGGGGGAAGCCATTTTCACCTTTCCAGAAGCTCGAGGAAAACCTCCGCTATGGTGCAGGAGGCTGAGTAGGCCATGACCATGCCCTCCATGACCATGCCTACCCAGCAACCGGGACAGAGAACTGGTTGCTAACATTTTTCAATCCCACCCCTGCCTGAATCCCGTCTTGAACCAATGATGAACAATGGTTCAGCAATGTCCTAAATCTTGGCTCACCCCTTAGAGGCAGGCAAGGTCAAGAAAGAAGGCCACCGGCAGGCTAACTGGTTGAACTAAACCTTGAAAGTCTGTCTCTGTAGCCCATCTTAGATCAAACAAAGTCAAGACAAAGTTTTTTTTCTCATGTTTTCTTTTCCCCCGAGATATTTTGGAAACTGCTTCCTTAACAGTTTGTTCATCTTTTCCCCAATTCCAGGCCAGGTTGACAGTGCATCACCCTTCAAGTCTAGGGAGTCAAAATATGTGCATGGGGTGAAAACAAAAACTAGCGGGTTTTTTTTAACCTGAAATAAAATTCTTATCACCAGGTGGGCATTATTCTGTCTTTCCTCTTCTCTCTTTTGGGTGCCTGGGATGTCTTTAATGTAAGCCAGACTTTACTAATAATATATGGAACAGTAGTAGCAATTGCTTTGTGCCACTCCTACCTAACTCGCTAACCAGACAAAACAGGAGTTTTTAACTCCCCTATTTCAGCAGAATGTTTTGGCTTGCCAATTTTTGTGACTGAGGCTGCAACGTCAGAAGCTGAATTTCTGAAAAGGCTGAATTTCTGCTCCTGTATCAATATTCATTTTTGCAGCAGAAGCATCAACTTAGACAGACATGATAGCAGTATTCCGATATCTCAGGGGTTGCCACAAAGAAGAGGGAGTCAAGCTATTATGCAAAGTACCTGAGTGCAGGACAAGAAGCAATGGGTGGAAAATAATCAAGGAGAGAAGCAACCTAGAACTTAAGGAGAAATTTCCTGACAGAACAATTGATCAATGGAACAACTTGCCTCCAGAGGTTGTGAAGGCTCCAACACTGGAAGTTTTTAAGAAGAGATTGGACAAACATTTGGGTTTCCTGTCTAAGCAGGGGACTGAAGACATCCAAGGTCCCTTCCAACTCTTATTCTATTCTATTCTATTCTATTCTATTCTATATTCTATTATATATTTCCTATTTTATTCTACTCTACTCTACACTACTCTATCCTAGTTTATTCTTTAAGAGGCATGGTGTTAATTACTGCATCCTTTGTCTTCTCCAAGGACCGCATAATAGATGCTGGACCAAAGGGAAACTACTCTCGCTTCATGAACCACAGCTGCAACCCCAACTGTGAAACCCAGAAGTGGACAGTGAACGGAGACGTCCGGGGGGGACTCTTTGCTTTATGTGATATTCCTGCAGGTAAATTGTCTTCTGAACGTTCCCCTTTGCCTTTGGAAGTGAGGGTGGCTATTTTGACCTCTGCGTTGCCTTTTTTTTTTTAATCTAAGAGGCCTTTGTTTTGTTTTTTGTCTATGGAGATTCCCAGTCATGCAGGTCATGGTTGTCCCAAAAGTGCTTTTTCAGAAGGCAACTGGACTTTATTTTCCCCTTGAAGGCGTGTTCTTCCGGTGAGACCAGTCTATCAGGGCAACCTGGTCCATCCAAATATGGGATGGAGCATACTGCTTTCGCCTTTCAGCTGTAATCCAGGAGCAGGGGTGGGCTTCAAAAATTTTAGCAAGGGGTTCTCTGCCAGGTTGCTGGGTTTACGTGGCCATGGTGGACATAGCCTAGTTGGCCTCCTGCACCACAGTGTGGGGGGGAGAGGACTCCGGAGGCTTTCCTCGAGCCTCTGGGAGAGCGAAAATGGCCGCTCCAGGCTCCGGAGGCTCTTCCTGAACATCTGTTTTTTTGCCCTTCCCAAGCCTCCACGCATGCCCTGCACTTACCTGCATCCAAAATGGGCCTCTTGGGGACTCCTAGGAGAGGCGGGGCAGGGTGGGCGGGGCCAGCCAGGAGTGGGATTTCGTGGTTCTCCAAACTGCATAGAATCTTCGTTAGAGGTTCTCCCAAACCCCTGCGAACCCCCAGCAGCCCCACCCCTGGCAGTCGCTTCCGTGACAATCTTTTTTTATGTGAAATTTCAAATTGTACCGACAACGAAAGGAAGAGAGACTAGTATAGCTATTTCAAGCTATTTAGCTCTCATCAGCTAGCCATACCCTTCTGGGATTCGAACCCTGGCCGCTTGCATATTAGGCAGATGTATTGACCTCAAGGCCACAGACTCCCCTCGCTTTGTCAGCTGAAGAGAGATTAAGTGTTTTTCCGATGAGACTGGTCTATCAGGGCAATCTACCCAAATATGAGGTGGAGCATACTTCTTCCACCTTTGCCTTTCCATGAAGACGTTTCGCTTCTCATCCAAGAAGCTTTTTCAGCTCTGGGAGCTAAAGAAGCTTCTTGGATGAGAAGCGAAACGTCTTCAAGGTAAAAAACACAAAGTCCAGTTGCCTTTTGAAAAAGCACTTTTTGGGGACAGTCCTTTGTTTTGTGTAACTCTCATAATGCTACTATCAATCTCTGCATTGTCTCCTCCCTTCTCCTGCCCAGGAATGCAGGCAGCTTGTGGCCTAGTTGTCGTTTCCACGCTTGGTGCTCCTGGATTCCTTCCAGTTCTTTTTCCTCAATTTGATCTGGATAGGGATATTCTCTGAAGTCTTCTGTTTTCAGGCTTTACGCTGCCTCTTAGTTCTTTTTGCTGCTGCTGTTGTTGTTGTTGTTGCTCATTCACAGCCTCTTGATAAACATGTTCTCCGAACATTTTGAAAAACATCTCTGTACATAGTTCAGGCCTCTGCCTTTTTGTTCATACTGACTCTGCCCCTGGGACTGGATGGAAAAAACGGAACTGTTTCCCAGGGCAAATCAAGCAAACGGGAAAAGCTTGTATTTGCAGAAATAATTCACTAAGGAGAAATTTCCTGACAGTGAGAACAATTAATCAGTGGAACGACTTTTCTCCAGAAGGTGTGAATGGTCCAACGCTGGACGTTTTTAAGAAGATGTTGGATAACCATTTGTCTGAAGTAGTGTGGGGTTTCCTGCTTGAGCAGGGGGTTGGAGTAGAAGACCTCCAAGGTCCCTTCCAACTCTGTTATTCTATTCTATTTTATTCTATTCTATTCCATCTCGTGTTCTGTTCTGTCTATTCTATCCTCTTCTATTGCATCTCCTATCCCCGGGATGGCGAACCTATGGCACGCAAGCCACAGGTGGCACGTGGAGCCATTTGTCAGGGCACACAAGGTGTTGCCTATCAGCTAGCCAGCGCGCATGTACTTGCTGGCCAGCTGACTTCAGCTTTTTTAAAAGCCATTTTTCAGCCTCCCCAGACTCCAGAGGCTTTATAGGAGCCTGGGGAGGGCGAAAAGAGCCTTCTCCCACACTGAAGGCCCTTCAGAGGTTTCAGGAGCTTCCCTGAAGCCTCCGGAGCGCAAAAAAACGGCCCTATGACCAAACTGGAAGTTCGGGAACGGACTTCCAGTTTGCTCGTAGGGTTGGTTTAAGCCCTCCGGAGACTTCAGGGACCTTCAGGAGGCTTTTAAGCCTCCTGAGGACTAAAAAGAACCCTACCAGAAGTCACTTAAGGGTGAAACCGACCCTGCGAGCAAACCGGAAGTGACTTCCGGTTTGCTCGTAGGGTCCTTTTTAGTCCTCCGGAAGCTTCAGGTCCCTGAAGCCTCCGGAGGGGCGGGGGAAGGGCTGTTTTTGCCCTCCCCAGGCTGCTATAAAGCCTCTGGAGCCTGGGGAGGGCAAAAAAAGCATATAAAAAATGGGGGGGAGCACTTCTCATGCGCGCATGCGCACTGGGATGTGTGTCGTGCGTTGCATTATGGGTACGGCATGCCCATGCACAATCCCCCTGCGCTCCCCCTCTTATGGCATGCGAGCCAAAAAAGGTTCACCATCGCTGTCCTATCCTATCCTATCTTATCCTATCTCCTATCCTATCCTATCCTAGTCTGTTCTGTTCTCTTCTGTTCCATCTCGTATTCTGTTTTGTTCTATTCTATTCTATTCCATCTCCTATCCTATCCTACCCTATCTTATCCTATCCCCTATTCCAGCGATGACAAACATTTTTTGGCTCACGTGCCATAAGTGGGGGGAGCACAGGGGGGGTCGTGTGCAGGCATTCTGCACCCATAATGCAATGTGTGACACACACCCCATGTGCGACCTCCCATTTTTTGCATGCTTTTTTCGCCCTCCCCAGGCTCCAGAGGCTCTATAGGAGCCTGGGTAGGGTGAAAACAGCCTCCCCTGCCCCTCCGGAGGCCCTCCGGAGGCTTCAGGAGGCTTCCCTGAAGCCTCCAGAGCAGTCAAAATGACCCTCTGAGCAAACCGGAAGTCACTTCCGGTTTGCTCGTAGGGTGGTTTTTAGTCCTCCGAAGGCTTCAGGGACCTTCAGGAGGCTTCCCTGAAGCCTCTGGAGCACTTAAAATGACCCTCTGAGCAAAGCGGAAGTCCGTTCCTGAACTTCCAGTTTGCCCATAGGGCCAGTTTTTTGCACAGGGAAGCTCATGAAGCCTCTGGAGCCTGGGTATGGCGAAAAATGGCTTTAAAAAAGGGTGAACTCAGTTGACAGGGCAGCACCTTACGTGCCCTGACAAATGTCTCCGCGTGCCACCTGTGGCACGCGTGCCATATGTTCACCATCCCGGCCCTATTCTATTCTATTCCATCTCATGTTCTGTTCTATTGTTATGTTCTATTTTATTCTATACTATTCTATTCCATCTCCTATACAATCCTATCCTAGTCTGGTCTGTTCTATTCTATTCAATTCTTCTCTTCTATTCCATATCCTATCCTATCTTATCCTATCCCCTATTCTCTTCTCTTCTATTCCATCTCCTATTCTGTTCTGTTCTATTCAATTCTTCTATTCTATTCTATTCCATTCCATCTCCTACCCTATCCTAGTCTGTTCTGTTCTGTCTATTCAATTCTTCTCTTTTCTTCTATTCCATTTCTTATCCTATCTTATCCTATCCCCTATTCTATTCTATTCTATTCCATCTCCTATCCTACCCTACCCTAGTCTCTTCTGTTCTGTTCTATTCTACTCCATTCCATCTAGTATTCTATTCTAGTATAATCTTTATTGTCATTGTACTTAAATACAACAAAATTGGTTTTAACCTCACTGGTGCAAAATTATAACAGAAATGAAAAAAAGAAAGAAAAAGGGAAAAAAAAACTAGCGTGTGCATGGAGTGATTGTGGTTGTATTTAAAAGTCTCACAGCCCAAGGATAGAAACTATCTTTAAACCTGTTTGTTCTGCTGGCTATACTTTGATACCTTCTGCCTGATGGTAGAAGTGCAAAGAGATTCTATTCCTTCTGAAAGAGAAAGCAAACACATAGAATAATCAGGTGAGAAGGGACCTTGGAGGTCTTCTAGTCCAACCTTCCATTCAAAGACTCAATTCAATGATGTCCTCAAATGGAAAGCTCTTGAGGTGATAAGCAATGTGCTTACGTATGAAAAGTTCTTCATTTGTGACAGTTTTGGCCAGATGCAGGAGGCAGCTCAAATTTTTCTTCCTCTGGCATAAGTATGCTTGTTTGTAGAAGCAAAACCAAATTGAAATGAATAGTCAGATCGAAAGATTTATACTTGCCAGCTTTTATTGCACAAAGTGTTTTCCTGTTTTGAAATGCTGACCATGACCTCTCCCAATAGGGTTACATTTGGGTATTATGGTTTGTTGCACAGCCAGCCATATGTTTAGATTGGATTTGGCATTTTGATCCATCAATCAAGCCATTCCCAAGGACTTGGGTTAGGCAGATGTGGTGGTTTGATGATGTCAAAGGTGTGTCACAGAATATGAGTTATTCCAAGTAAAAGCTGCCTTTTGCAATTGACTGATGTTAACATTCCCATTGTTGATGGTGTTCTAGTGGTGCTCCAGATGTTTTGGGATTGCACCCAAGGCCCCTATTTCTATTGGTAATATCTTCCATTTCTTTTGCCACAGTTGCTCTACTTCTGTTTCCAGGTTTTTATATTTTCTCCAGTTCTATCTTCTTTTTTGATGTCTCCGGGGATATAATAATAACCCAAGGAGGATTATTGTCATTATTATTTAGATTCAAAACAGATCTGGATGGCTTACAGCTAAAGAATAGAAAACAATAAAGAGAAAATCCTATGCACCCAACCCTACTGCATGTAATGAAAACAACTTTATTAATGTCATGAGGAAGGAAAGAATATAACAGTTTCATCCCTATCTTCTCAAGGTTTTCTTTCTTTCTTTCTTTCTTCTTTTCTTCCTCTCCTTCTATTCTTCTTCATCTTCTTTTTCCTCCTCCTCCTTTTTCCCCTTCCTCCTCCTCCTCCTCCTCCTCTTCATCATCTTTTTTTCCCTCTTCGTCTTCCTCCTCCTCCTAAAAGTGGCTTAGATCAGGACTCTCCAAACTTGGCAACTTTAAGACTTGCGGACTTCAAATCCCAGAAATCCTCCGCCAGCCCAACAAACCTAATCAAGTAACAGTCATAAGACTCCACATGGAAAAAAACACAATATAACCAAAAAACAAAATACCAAGCCCAAAACAAAAAAGAATAAAAAGGAACAAGCAGTGGCACAAATTCAGTTAAAAACACTCTCCACAATACAGCAGTTTCATTTTAAACCGCTTTCTGAAAACCAACAAGCAAAGAAACTGAACTGGTCTCTCCTGGGAAATTGTTGCAGTGCATTGATGTCACCATGGAGAAATAGTACTTCCTGCTTTTGCTTCCCTTCACTTCTCAGAAGGGTGGGGGCTGTGACGATTTTCTTCCTAAATCTGTGTCTCATAACTGATGTTTTTTTTCCCCTCAGGAACACTTTCCACTTTTAAAAAATGATGGAAGTTTCTTCCCCTCCCCTCCAAGAACCATTTGTTTAGCTTACATTGATTAATATTTACCGTATTAAAAATTGAAACAGACACATTTGTAGAACATTTATTGAATGAATCATCAAACCAAATTAACCCCATTAGATTATGACACAAATAAAATATTTTTATGGAAAAAGAAGATGTATGTTAAATCATAAATATGAAAGATGTTTATTGGGATGTAATTATCAATACCAGCAAATATTAAATGAAGTGTGCTCAGATGCTAAAATACCCCACGTAAATTAATTGGAGAGAGTGGAAAGGAAAGGTAGCGGTAAGGAGAAAGAGAGGAGACAGGAGAGAGGGAAAGTAGAAGGGAGAGGAGAAGTAGGAGATAAAGAAGAAGTGGAAAGAGGAGAGAGGAGAAGGAGAGAGGAAGGGGAAGTAGGGAAGAGAGGGATGGCAGAAGGAAGAAAGGAGGTAGGGAGGAGGAGTGAGGGAGAGGAAATAGGACGGCAGTGAAACAGGTATAATATGGTGTATTGAAAACAAAAGAGCGAATGACAGCTGTTCTGGGTTGAGGGAATGATATAATGGACAATATTAAAAAATTCTGTTCAGATGTAATGGTATACTTGTGGTTATATGTATGAAATTAAAATAAAAAACTCTCAAAAAATATTTTAATAGGGAAAAAAATCCTATTTTTAACTTTAAAAAAAAGAATGATAACAGTGAGGGGGTTTTGGTGCTCTCTGAGCTTGCTTATTTGCTTGGAGACCCAAATTCATTCTTTCCCTATCCAAATTAGCATGTATCAGTCCTAGTTTGGGTAATAGAATTTTTTATTCTTTATTGGCCAAGTGTCAGACACACAAGTGGTTTGTCTTTGGTGCATATGCTCTCAGTGTACATAAGGAGAATAAAATACATTCATCAAGAATAAAAAGATACAACACTTAGTGATAGTCAAGGTTACTTATAAACTATCAAATCATACTAGGAAACAAATAAAACAATGTAAATTGAAAGATACAAGCAACACGGTTATAGTCATAAGTGGGGAGAGATAGATACTAGGAAGAAAGAGAAGAATAACTACAGTCTTAGTAAATTATTGACAGTGTTGTGGGAATTAGTTGTTTAGCAGAGTGATGGCATTTGGGGAAAAACTGTCCTTGTGTCTAGTTGTTCTAGTGTGCAGTGTTCATCATACATTATGATGAATGTATTTTTATGATGACTGTGATCATTTATCACATACCTTTGTGTACAATGAGAGCTTATGCACCGAAGATAAATTCCTTGTGTGTCTAATCACACTTGGCCAATAAAGCATTCTAGTCTATTCTGAATTTTCTTCCATTCCATATTCTATACTATTCTATACTGTTGTAAAATTACATTAGATTCTATTCTATTCTAACTTTTCTATTCTATTCCATTCTATTCTGTTCTATTCTATTCCATTCCATATTTATTTTGTTCTATTCTATTCCATTCCATTCTATTAGATGCTTACTATTGTCAACACAGGCAAAACATAATTTCAGAGACAAGTAAAGTCTTGCATTTTCAGGTTGCAGGAAACACCCTGGACAACCAAATGATGCTGATTTAAGTCTTTTGATCATAAGGGATGTCTCCGATAGCTAGTGACAGTGGAAGCATGGAAAAACCAGAGAAAGAGATGCTTAAAAAGGAGCAATACATTCCTTATTAATTCTGCAAGCCACCGTGTCATTTTGATAAGGACAAGACTTTTCACTGGCGATGAAGATAGCAATTGCATTTTTAATATTTTGATTAAGATTTCACCTAAGCTGGCATATATCACTCTTTTCTGAAGCAAAAAAAAAGGATTCTTACATTCTTTGCCAAGTATTAAACTTAACTCTCTTGAACTTGCAGGGATGGAGTTAACATTTAACTATAATTTGGATTGTCTGGGCAATGGCAGAACTGAGTGCCACTGTGGAGCAGAAAACTGCAGTGGATTCCTAGGAGTGCGGCCAAAGGTTAGTCACACAAGTGGGGGAAGCCCTCTGGGACAAAAACTACGGATAGATGGACTATCACACACACATACACGTCCACGGTCTCTGTCAGCTTGTGCTCACCGCTCAGAACGAAGTCCAAATGAGGACTTTCCTCCTGATCTCTTTCATTACAGGTAGTCCTCGACTTACAGCAGTTTGTTTAGTGACCAAAGTTACAACGGCACTGTATGGCCATTTTCACACTTACAGTCACACACACCTCATAGAGCCAAGGTGGCACAGTGCTTAGAGTGCAATACTACTTCGGCTGACTGCTAGCTGCAGTTCAACAATTCGAATCTCACAGGCTCATGGTTGACTCAGCCTTCCATCCTTGCGAGGTGGGTAAAATGAGGACCCAGATTGTTGGGGACAAGAGGCTGACTCTGTAAACCACTTAGAGAGCATCGTGAAGTGATATATAAGTCTGCTATTGCTTGGGAAGGAAGGAAGGAAGGAAAGGAAGGAAGGAAGGAAGGAAGGAAGGAAGGAAGGAAGGAAGGAAGGAAGGAAGGAAGGAAGGAAGGAAGTCATGGTAGCACAATAGTTAGATTAGAATGCAGAATTTCAAACTGACTTTGCCCACTGCCAGGAGTACAGTCATGACCGGCTCAAAGTTGATTCAGCCTTCCATCCTTCCGAAGTGGGTAAAATGAGGACCCAGGTTGTTGGGGGCAAGAGGCTGACTCTGTAAACCGCTTAAAGAGGGCTGGAAAACACTGTGAAGCGGTATATAAGTGCTATGGCTATTGCTACAGACTGTTGCAGCATCACATGAGCAGAGTTCAGACACTTGACAACTGACTCACATTTATGACAGTTGCAGTGTCCCGGGGTCTACATGATCATCTTTTGCGATGAGCAAAGGCAACAGGGAAGCTGGATTCACTTAACAACGGCAGAGATTCACTTAACAACTGTGACAAGAAAGGTTATAAAATGAGGCAGAACTCACTTAACCACCACCTCGCTTAGCAACAGAAATTTGGGGCTGAATTGACGTCCTAAGTTGAGGACTGCCTGTATAGTATTCCCCGCTTCATTTAGGGAGGATGGCAACTGTTGGGTGTTCAACTGAACTCAATATTTTGGGGGGCTGGAAGCTTTTGTTTTCAGATGTCAGGGATTGGAACAGCAGAAGGCTTAGAAGGACAAGGGAATGGCCTTGAAACAGGAGGAAGACCCACTACCAAGGTGATGTCCAGGGTCCATTCCAAGAAATAAATTTAAGAGAAAGTCTCAGGCAGGTCCCTGTCTAATTCAAATGGAGATAAAGTGAACAGAAAAGGAAGCACATTCAGACTTGCAAGTGTCAACCCTGAAGCTGGCCTGACTGAGGCCCTTTTGAGACACACTGAAGCTGAGGGATATGGGGGGTGGGAATAAAGATAGTTGGGGTAATATAGTCAAAACAAAATACTTTCTCTTGGGAACCAAGGGCATTCCTGCAAGTGTTCGGAAGGAGGGGACTGAGGTCACCTAGCAACTGGACTGTATCCCGATTGGACCATGTGACTAGTTTTTTTGGGGTGGGCGGGAATGACAAACTTCGACTTTTAATTAGGTGGAAACCACAGGGATATTCAGAGTTGGTTTTCACCAGCCTGTGCCAATATGGCATATCCAATAATCTTATTCTTTGAGGAATTTATCTGCCTCAGTCTGTCAGGCTTGGAAGCCATCTTTGTATTGGGCCTCAAGCCTGCCACATATTCAAATATATTCTACTGTGGGAAACTGGGAGGGGATTGTGTGGAGCGTGGGAGATATGTAGCCATAATAACATTCCTTCTCAGAGAGTCAAGGTCGTTTTGTCCCTGCACCTGGACTAACGTGAATGGGAGGAATCTTCCTTCGTGACAGTGGCTGATTGGGCCATGGGATGGACATGTGGGTGCTGGGCAGGGGCTTGAACTTTCAACTGTGTGGGGAAAACCTGGACACTTACAGATTTGGGTTTTCCCAGATGTGCCAACATGACTTCTCTAATAAATTTGAACTTTGAGGAATCTCTAGCCTTGGAGTCTTTTTTGATTGAGGATGCTATTTGGAACCCTGACACAGACTTTTATTTGTTATGGGTATGTTACTTGGAACCCTGACAGCAAGGCTGTGTTACTGTAGATCAGGGGTGGGGAACTATGGCCCCTTTATGATATGTGGACTTCAACTCCCAGAATTCCTGAGCCACAAGAATTCTGGGAGTTGAAGTCCACAGGTCATAAAGGAGCTACATAGTTCCTCACCCCTGTGTAGATGACACAGTGAAAGTAACCCTGCCCTATATGGTGTTGGTTTCTTAGCCTGGTCTACCATGTACGGCTGTCATAAGACAGCCAGGACTCCTTTGTACTTGGTTAATATTCTTCCTGGCTTTTTCCCTCTACCCATTCAGACAGCGTGCGCAACAGCAAACGAAGAGAAGGCCAAGAACGCAAAGCTGAAGCAGAAAAAACGGAAGATAAAAACGGAGCAGAAGCAGATGCACGAAGACAACTGCTTTCAGTGTGGAGATGGGGGTGAACTTGTCATGTGTGACAAAAAAGACTGTCCCAAAGCATACCACCTCCTCTGCCTTAACTTGACACAGCCACCCTTTGGTAGGTGCCTGCGATTTTGTTGCAGCTGTAAACAGGCCTTTTTTTTTTTTTTTTGAAGGGCACATAAAAATATGTTTGCAAAAATCATCTGACCGTTTAAGCTGGGAGTTGTGGTGGTGCAGTGGTTAGAAAGGTGGTATTGCAGGCTAACTCTGCTCACTGCCAGCAGTTCGATTCTCATGGGCTCAAGGTTGACTCAGGCTTTCATCCATCCAAGGTTGGTTAAATGAGGACCCAGACTGGTGGGGGCAATAGGCTGACTCTGTAAAGTGTTTAGAGGGGGCTGTAAAGCACCATGAAGCAGTATATAAGTCTAAATGTTATTGCTTGGGAAGGAAGGAAAGAAGGAAGGAAGGAAGGAAGGAAAGAAGAAAGGAAGCTGTATTGGTGCAGTGTTTAGAGTGCTGTATTGCAGACTAACTCTGCCCACAGCCAGGAAGTTCAATCCTGACCAGCTCAAGGTTGACTCAGGCTTCAATCCTTCCGAGATAGGTAAAATGAGAGGACAGATTGTTGGGGGCAATATGCTGACTCTGTAAACTGTTTAGAGCGTGCTGTAAAGCATGTGAAGCGGTATATAAGACTTAAGTGCTATTGCTTGGGAAAGAAGGAAGCAAGCAAGCAAGCCATTTTGGTGCAGTGGTTAGAGTGCTGTATTGCAGACTAACTCTGCCCATAGCCAGGAAGTTTGATCCTGACTGGCTCAAGGTTGACTCAGCATTCCAATCTTCCGAGGCCGGTAAAATGAGGACCCAGATTGTTGGGGGCCAAGAGGCTGACTCTGTAAACCGCTTAGAGAGGGCTGGAAAGCACTGTGAAGCAGTATATAAGTCTGTATATAAGTCTAAGTGCTATTGCTATTGTTGCTCTCTTTCATTAGTGTAGTTGTGAAGAAATTAACTAGGGAGGACTCTAGGAAGCCAACATACCGGTCGCACAATGGAGCAGCAGGGACTGTGTCCCCTTCCAAGATACTTGTGCGAAGTTTCCACAGTCCAGTCAGTTTGTCAGCATTCTGCAATCATGAAGGAATTTGGGACGTTTGGCGTTTTTCTTGCTTCCCCTCAGTTTTTACTTTTTCCCAGGAATCCTTCCTCAAATCCTGAAATGACCCTTTGAAGCCAATCTTTCCACAGGATCGGCTCTGCCAGTATTTTTTTGGCTTGAAAATACAAGATCAAGTTAGTTGTTCTCTGTCAAGGTTAGGAAAGTCAGAGGGAACAGCTGTGCTTACTGGACTTTATCTTGCTTTCTGTTTACCTTGAATTTTATTTGGTTGGTAGGTTTGTTTTTCGGGCACATCTGGGAACAGAAACATGTTTGCTCTGCTAATTCCTATAATTAATCTAGATATCTCAGAATGTCTATGCAGATTCTCAGTCATCCAGATCAGGGGTCTCCAACCGTGGCAACTTTTAAACTTGGTGAACTTCAACTCCCAGAATTCCCCAGCAAAGCTGAGAGTTGAAATCTGGGAGTTGAAGTCTGCCAGGTTTAAAATTGCTTTGCCGGCTGGGGAATTCTGGGAGTTGAAGTCCGTCAGGCTCAAAGTAAGGTTGGAGACCCCTGATCCAGGTCATGGTTGTCCCAAAGTTCCTTTTTCAAGAGGCAGTTGGAGTTTCTGGGTTTTTCTTTGAAGACATTTCACTCCTCATCCAAGAAGCTTCATTTCGTGACCATTTCAAAGTTGCAAACTCATTGGGGGGAAAATGACTCAATGACCGTTTTACAACCTTTGTGGCATCCACATGATCAGAATTCAGATACTGATTCCTATTTATGATAGTTGCAGTGTCCAGAGGTCATGGGATCCCATTTTGCGACCTTCACACAAGCAAAGTCAGTGGGGAGCCCGATTCGTGTGACAACCCTGTGTACTAACTTAACAACCACAGTGGTTTGCTTAACAATGTGGCAAGAAAAGTTGTAAAATAGAGTAAAATTCACCAAACAAATGCTTCACTTAGCCGCAAAAAATTTGGGCTCCAATGTGGTCATAAGTGGAGGACTACCTGTATACATGCTGGTTGGAAAGCACCCAAATTTTGTTTATGTGACCCTGGGAATGTTGCAACAGTCCTAAGTTCAAGAATCAGTTGTAAGTTTCTTTTTCAGCCCCATCATAATTTCGAGTGGTCACTAAATGAATGGTTGAAAATTGAGGTGTATATATATATATATATATATATATATATATATATATATAC